CGTCTCTATAAAAACCCTGGGGTAGAGACAGTCGGGGCCGTTGGAATAGGTTCCAGGCCCTCTCGAGGCTATCCTTTATTTTCTATCTGTTTATCTCTGCAAGATTCTCCACTATAAATCCTTCTATCTAATATTTCCTGCTGCTCGCACTCAAGAAAACTCTGGGGAACTGTGGGGGTGGTGGATAAACACCCCACAGTGGATAATCTTTTTTCCCCTTTTATTGAAAATAGATTTTTTTCTCACATAATATAACCTGATTAAGGTTTCCCCTCCCTCTACCTCTCCCAGTTCCTCCCTACCTCTGCTCCCATCTGGATCCACTCCCTTTTTGTCTCTAACTAGAAAAAAACCAGGCTTCTAAGGGATAATAATAAAATAAAATAAGATAAAATGAAAGAAAAAGTAATGCATCGGAATTGGACAAAATAGAAAAAGAGAAGGAAAAGAGTCCTGGAGAAGGTACAAGATTCAGGGACTCACTTGTTTGCACACTCAGGAGTCCCATTAAAACACTAAACTGGAGGCCACAATATGTATGCTAAGGACCTGGTGTGGACTCATGCAAGCCCTGTGCAGTCTACCTCAGTCTCTGAGTTCACATGAGCTTTGCTCATGTTGATTTAGAGGGCCTCGTTTTCTTGGTGTCCTCCATTCCCTCTAGCTCTTACAGTCTTTCTGTCTCCCCTTCTGCAAGGTTCACTGAGCCCTGAGGGGAGGGATTTGATGGAGACATCCCATTTAGAGCTGAGTGTTCCAAGGTCTCCCACTCTCTGCACAATATCTGCCTGTGGTTCTTGTATTTGTTCCCATCTGCTGCAGGAGGAAGCTTCTCTGATGATGGCTGAGCAAGGCATTGGTCTGAGTATAGCAGAATGTCATTAGGAGTCATTTTATTGTTACTTTCCTTTAGTAGAACTATAGTATTTGGTTTTGCCTCAAGTCCCTGGGCTATCTAGTCTGAGGTTCTTGGTCACACAAGCTGTGTTGGGTATGGGTTCCATCTCGTGGAGTGGGCCTTATGTCAGATCAGATATTGGTTGGTTACTCTCACAAGCTTTGTGCTACAATTGCCCTAGCATATCTTGCAGGCAGTACACCATTGTAGATAAAGGGTTTGTGGCTTCTTGTGTTTCTCTTTTGAAAGCATGCAGAGTATGTGCCTGTACCAAAGAGGGGGGTGAAGGCTCTATGTAGGCACCAGCTTGACTTCTCCTTGTTCAATGAGTTGTGCTAAGTGTTGTCTTTAACAATAGGACCTTGCCGGCAGTTTTTGGAGAGTAACCTATAGTCTTGGCAATAGTCTGTGTTGTTTGGGGATTCTCATGGGACCCCTTTGACCAATAACTCAATTACATGTAACTCAATCCTGGGACTGGAAGCTTCATTTGGTGACAAGAGATGTCCAACTGGTGCTCTGTCTCCCTCATCATTTGGCAATTTCACTTAGATCACCTTCATATATGTATATATTTTAGGAAGCTTCTACTGTATTAGGTTTTCTTACTACTCCACTAATGGCACTTAATTTTAGCTGTCTCTCCCTGTATTTCCTTCTTCATCCCACTCACTCCTGCCCCTTGCCAACTTGATCCTCCCATTTCAGCAACCACCATCC